TATTTTTTATCGAATGGTCAATATTTATGTGCAAGAAGATAGTGCTCTGCTCTGCATTATCCATATTAATTAATTATACTGTAAACTTCCTCTACAAAGATATTCAAGATATTTCTTCTTACAGACAGTACTACGACAGGACTATCCATGTCTACAGACTGATTTACTTTGATAGGTTGTCTTGTGCCTGTACAGATAGATATTTGGGTAGTTTTAGTCCACATAGTTAGCAGGCAATTAAGAAGTATTATGTTCTCTTTAACAATCTATAACTATGGAACATTGAATAAAATACGTAGAACAGTTCAAAATTCTTGTGCATAATACGTCTAACCCGTTTATGCCTCCTTTTGATAGAATAACGAGTTCAATCTATAAAAAGTACAACGTAAATGGCTTGGCATAATACGGAACATTTTTTGTTTTAATTCAAATTCGATGCATTCATAAATACGAGAAAATGTATGTATATCCTATATCTAATTTTATTTTCGTGAAACTGACAGAGTATGGACTAAAGTCATTTTGGATACTGTCTTTTGTGCGAAAAGGCCAATTAATACTTTTATGATAAGATAAAAGTTTGTCTTTTCGTACTTTTTCCTATAATTTTATTTATTGACATGCGTATAAAAGGAAAAGGAAAAATGATAAGATGAAAAGAAAGAAAGATGGAAGCGGTACCTTTTATTCTACGGCTGAACTAAATTTTCTCGTTTCTTGCTTATACGGTATAGAATTGCCATTTAAGGTAATTTCTCTTGTGTAACTAAGCAACAAAACAGGACTATACTTACTCAAAAAACCAAGGGAAGCGTACTTATATGTTATAAAAAAGCTTTCAATCATCAAGAATTATGCTAGACACTGTCGCTTCTTCGAAAAAATTTTTCCATGCGAAAGCGCTACGTTCAATGAGAATAACTGCTACTCACTTAGCGCCAGCTATAAAAATGAATATCTATGGAACCATCATATGTGTAAAGATGAAACTTTCACAAAATGTGTAACTAATAATCATAATTCATTTCTCAAAATTTCAGCTCGATCCGTCTGGCGCAAAAAAAGTCGATTTTTCAATCTCTCTCATAATGCAGTATATACCCCACCTTATTACAAGTTGAAAAATGTCCTTTTGTTTTTAATGACGGAAAGTATGAATATCTATACTTTCGCATTCGTAGACACTAGTTATATTTAAATCTTTTGCAGCTTTTGTTTCTTACAGAATAGTACTTCTTGAGCGAAGAAACACAATAAAACAGTTGCGTTTTTCTTGCTGTAATTCTCTTGATTCACTGTAATTTCAGATGTACCAGCCATCAGCACGATTATGTTACGTGTGTAGAAGACCTGGACATAAAGCGAAAGATCATTCGCCGTATGACGCCGGTGTTTACAGTCTCATACCAGATGTGAATGCATATGTAGCATATTATCTATTTTTGTTAATGCTTTCTAAAATTTTAGTTTCGTCGTAAGCGACCCCTTCCTCGTCATCAAAGCTGTGGAAAATGTTGTTGTCAATCGGGAGTTTGGTGAGTTCATTTCTAAAACTAGTCTTGTATGTCGAATTAGAAACACTTGTACTTGTTGTCACGCGTCTTCTCTTTTTAGTTTAAAGGAAAACATGGCTCCGACACATTGGCCAGAGAAATTATGTAAGTATCATAATTTCATGTACTCATTCTTACCTATTTCCTCGAATAGCTATACTTTTTAAATGTGACAGTAACAGCAGCTGTCAAATTCATTTTTATTTTATTTCATTAGAAATCGTATTATCTACGTTTCGAAAATACAAGTTTCATTTTCAAGAACCATAATCGTACAACGTTTAAGTTTAAACAAGAGAGAAGAAAACAGATATAAATCGCTAGCAATAATGAGATAGAAGGCATGCATATACATTCATATAGACGTCAGTCAAAAAAAACAAAATATACTGTATATAAAGGAACAAAGATAAAATGGACTGTAAGATAAAATAAAATAGCAAAGATCCCTAGATGTTTTCTTCTCTGTTATTTTATTTTATCCGTTATTTAGCATAAAATACCTCAAAGCAATTGAGTAGAGAGATTTCATCTTTTTCTTGCAGATTGTTCTTTTAAAGCAATATAAAACAAAGGAAAAACATAATACCCGTGCTAGATTATTTTTATTAAATGATGCACGTTTGTCTTCAACAACTCAGATAGAAACCTTTACGTTGGCAAAAAGAGAATCTGTTTTCGAAAAATGGTGAAACTAAAAAACATATACTCACATTTGTTCATCACTTAACGGACAGTTGTTTGACGACTGTGTATCACCACAGTGACCAAATCCACCACCGCTTCTAGCCACTACCAGCCCAATTTGGACGACGACGAATACCAGTTGAAGAATTCTCTACCATCATTTGTCGCTGTATATATATTTGATCGAAGATATTCCACTACCGCGCTTCACGACGTTTCTATGAGTGCAGAAGCCCAGCATTTCATCTTTCTGTCGCTTTGACATGTACGCTCTATACGTATGCATGAAAGGATTACTTCAGGGGTGCTGTGCGACTGGTCTATGAACGGATTGTTTTCTATTTCAGTTTTTTAGTGATCTGTCTTTCGAAAAGGTTCGACGTCAAGCCTAACATGTCATTTTCTGTCTCTCTGACATCTACACTCTCTATACGTATGTAGTTGATTGGTTTCGTTAATTGTCCAATAAAACGAAAGGCTACTATACGGATGAAAAATGATTCTTTGTGTCATTGTCTTGATCCATTAAGTGAGTGAAAATTTCATATTTCAGCTTTCAGGGCGTTTTCTATTTAGTGGAAATTATAAAATTTCATGAAAGGAGTGCTTCAAAGGTACTACGCGCCTGATCTATGAATGGATTGGTTTCTTTTTCAATTTTTCAATGACCTGTCTTTGAAAGAGGTTCGATATCTAGAAAAACCGATTACTTTTTCCTTTTTTCTAGAAACTAACGATGGCGGATGTAAAAAATGTTACCTGTTTGTGCACGTTTCTTAATCAAATCAGTGTTAAAGGTTTAGAAAGCCTAAAATGCTATCATGCTGATAAACCGGTGAAATTATACTAGCATCTCTATGATACTAAAGTTCATGGTCAACAACTGTCATCGAAAGCAGCCACTATAATTATTGAGAAAATGATAAAAAATGAATATGATGAACTTGAAAATTCGTGTTTATCGATTGATCAGCTATTTCGTACATTAAAAAATAGAAATATTGACAGTGGTCCTGCTGTAAAAAATGAACCACAAATGATTATCGTCGAAAATACACGTTCAAAAGAAAATTTTGTTAATACGATAACAACCTCATCGAACCTAAAACGTTCACTAAACGCCTCTACGTTGAATGAAAATGGTCAAAATAATAAATTGCTGAAGACGATGATCGAAGCAGCTGTTCAAGAGCGGCTCAAAAGATTGTTGGTAATAGATGAAAAGTAGAGAAAAAAAGAGTGACACTTCTCAATCAGTCATAGAGAAAAACATTGTTAATATCCGCGTCGAGCTTTCTGTTGGCGTGTTTTTACTTATTTTGTCAGCCTTGACGTATTCTTTCGATGTTAGGAGAATTACGAAATTGATATAAACGCATTTGAAAAATATTTACTTTCGATCTGGGGAAGAAAATTAAAATTGGTGACTATTAAAAAATACATTCAGACAATGAATTCATATTTTCTATTTCATAATTCATCTGTAT